TAAGTTAAGCAAAATATAATTAATTATATTTAATCTATAATTAATTATTTTTAATTTAAAATTAATCATAAATTAATTAGATTTAATTTATGATTAATTAAAAACTAATTTTAATTAATTATATTTTAATATACAATTAATTATAACTAAATCATTTTAATTTATAATTTATGATAAATTAATTATAATTAATATGAAATTAATTATAATTAAATTAAAATTAATTATAAATAAAAATAAAATAAAAAAAAAATCTAAGCCTACTAATTAAACAGAGAGTTTAACTCTCTTAAACAGAGAGTTAAACTCTCTGTTTTAAGAGAGTTTCGCCACAGTTACACGCGTGAGGGAGAGAGCCACCTTCACGACCAGCGATCTTCTATTTGTGCTTCCGATCAAAATCGATCCGACAGGAGGGAATGGCGTCGGTATGAGTGAAGCTGGATGGAGGCGGCTAGGGCTCGGGATCGGTCGGAGCTAGGTCGGGATCGAGATGTCGAGAGGAGCTCGGCGGGATGCAGAGGTCTTGCGATCGGGAGGGAAGAAGAGGCTGGTTGTGGGATTCGGTGGAAAGTCACAGGTGGGGAGGAGTTCGTGTGCGAGAAGAGGGAGGAGAGAGGAGCTCGGGATCGAGTGTGGGATCGAGCGAAAGGGAGTAGAGCGAGGCAGGGATTCGGCGTGTGAAAGAGCAGCGACTGAAGGCAGGGTTCTGCTTCATTTTATAGACGCGATCCGAGCAACGACCGAGGCGAGATCGCGAGATTTCTGCCAGAATCGCGGGAAATTGATCGGAGCGGCGTCGTTTGCAGCGGAATTTCGGCACGACTTCGTGGATCCGACGGTCTACAGGTTAGCTGAATTTTTTGTTCTTTTTGTTTCTTTATACAAAGGTCAACATATTCATAATTTGTGGCTTCCTTAATTGAAAATCTCCATTATTAATTACCCATTTTAATAATGAGAGAGAACTTTGGACTTAAGGTATTTGCCAAGACCCTAGTCATCATGTTGCGATGGATTCTTGTGTGGTTTGAGTTTTTGTAATTTTGAGAAAGATGTTGCTTATATATTGAGAGGAGATGGTGAAGATTATGAAAAATCCAATTAAAATGCTATAGTTGTATTCTTTTAGTGTAAAAAACCGGCTAGTTCGATTCAACCGAATCGACCCTTGCGCTAAGCAGGCGAGCGGGACCGCAAATGAAATAGAATGAGCGGAATAGATGAACGGATCGAAAGATAGTGATCTATGCTTATTAAGTTTTATTGCAAGCAAGATTATGATTTGTCTTTCTCATATCCAATGATTGATCATGTTGAATGAAATGAAAATTAATATGTTATAATTTACACTTTTCATAGAAAATATATGAATGATATATAAGTGAAATGGTTAAGATAGATATGCTTATATGTGCATGTTGACTGATGGAGCACACCCTCTTATGGTATACTAGTTGGGGACGCAATGTACTCATACATGTAAATGAAAAGGAAAATGAAATAAAAAAAAAGAGTATCTTCATTAGTAATATTTTAGATGGTGGTTACTGTCACGGTAGTATTATTTATGAGAAATGATAAAAGATTATATGTATAATATGGAAAGTCTTGAAATGAAATGATGAAATATAATTTTTTTATGTTTTGAAATGATCATGCATATTATTCCTAATGTCTTGTGTTGCTATAGCTTAGAACCATGATTTACTCACTGAGTGTTTTATAACTCACTCCTAAATTTATAAATGAATATGTATTATTCAAAGCTTAAAATGAATAGAAGAGACAAAAATGTGTACCGTAGGCGAGGTGCTCCAAGTGAAAGGTACTTGTATCTTTTATTTTAAATAATTTTGAGGATTTAGTGGCTCTTTCAACTTATTGGTGATATATTGAGCAAAAAAATAATAATAATAAATTGCCCGACCATCTGTTCCCGTTTCGTTAATTCGAGCCTCCGGGTCGGTTCATGACATCTAGGTTAGTTAGTGTATCCCAACCTATATTGTTAAATGAGGAGATAGTAGAGGATACGAGGAATCCCTTGGGTTAGGTTTGTCTTTTGCACCCATATTACTCATTGATTGATAAGGTCTCACACCAAAGCATATGAGGGCTATGATGCACCGACACTTCTCTGCAACGAGTTGCTTGATCTCTGGAATGTTTTCTTCTCAGCAATTATCTTGGATCACTTTGATTGAATGATATAATAGAATCTTACCAAACAAAAAAGGATTACCGAGTTATTTAGTTTGACACTCTATCCTTGGTTTACTTTTAGATTGATCATGGAGAAGTAAGAATATTGACCAACTTAAAATCTATTTTTTTATTCTCTCTCGTTTCCGAACACTGTTGGAGAGATATTTATGATTTATTATTATTATTATTATTTTGAAATTCTTACTAATCCTTTTTTTATTATTCCTTAATTTTTTTTTGCAACCTATAATTTTTAATGAAACGGACTTGTCTCAGCTTTTCCACTAAAAAAGCATATCTTCCTGATCGAAGTAGCTCGTATTACCTAACTGATTAAACTGCTTTTCAAATACATTCCAAAGATGAAACTGTCTTTGATTAACAAGTTCTCTCTCTCGCTCTCACGCACATGCGCATGCATAGAGTCTAGCTTTATGAACCCCTTCATCTTAACTTTTGGTGATGTGCAACTAGGTTGACTGCGTTAATTGCTGTATTTTATTACAGAAACTTTGTAATGCAATGGTTTTAGCATGCATTTAGTGGTTATCCTTGTTCATGCTGCCATGCGAGCTGTTGTTGATGCTTTTATATATATATATATATATTAATTTCATACTCCTAGATTTTTTTTAACCAAGAGTTTTGTATTGCATTACACCTTTGTTTGCATTAACTGCCTGTAGAAAGTGAAAACTATATAGAGTATTTGGACGCAGTATTGAAGGGACCCATGAGCATCACATTACGTCACCGGCTGCAATGCCATGTTATTCGAGATGCTGCCAAAGATGAAATAGAAACTGAAGAACCCATTCTTGTCCTTAATGAAGTCACGATTGACAGGGGAATGTCTTCATACCTTACTTATCTAGAATGCTACTGTGATAGCTCCTTTGTTACGTGTGTGCAAGGAGATGGATTAATATTATCAACAACATCTGGTAGTACAGCCTACTCACTTGCAGCTGGAGGATCAATGGTCCATCCACAGGTATACTTCTCATTTTAATCTATTGGAAAACTGCAGCATCATTAGTGCTTTTCTATCTTTAATAAGAGATTATACATTGAATCTCTTTTAAATATAAACGTCAACATAATGGGATTTTGGAAAAGAAAAATAGGCATCTTCTGGAAGTTATTAGAGTCCTCATGATTACAAACAATATTCCAAATTAATATTGGGAAGAAGTTATCCTAAATTTATTAATTAAAGGCCATAAAAGAGCAGCAACAACAACATCAAGCCTTTATCCCACTACGTGGGGTCAAAAGAGCCTCAAATTAAAAATCTCTGTCAATTCCTCCTTGAAACATATGCCACAAACGGATTTATCTCCACTATTTCCCTTAAGATGTTTGGTTCATGTCCCACCCATGAAAGTAGCATATTTAAACCAAAAGCTATTAAGTGCATCTTTGGTTATTTTCTTACTATTCAAAAATAATTTATGCTTTTATTGTGATGTCCTATAATCTAATTTGGAAGAATTCTTTCTTTTATCTTTTGTTAGACAAGAATCAAAGCTATCTAATTTCATTTATTAGTAATAAAATCAAATATCAGCAGAAGCCAATTCTATTGATTAAAACATCCATATGCATCTTTATTCATTTCTCCAAAATCACATACAGTACTCAAGAATCGTAAAAATATAATATATCATTTCAGTCATGAGTACAAAAGAATAACTATAGATAGAAAGAAATGACTAATAGTAAACCTGGAAAAACTTGATCAGCCTCGCACTCTTAATCCTCTGCCATGAGCTAAAATCATTTAAACCACATATAATGAGCTAAATAACCCAACAGATCACTAAATCCTACAACTAAATCAAAGAATATCAAAGAAACAGTATGCATGTTTAATCAGTTCTATACCAATAAGAGTCATATGATCATGAATCAGTGCAGAAATAGTAAAACTCACATACAGTAGCACTAGAGTTGGTAAATAATAAAACAATATGATACGAAAACTAGTAAAATAGTGTAGTATAAAAACCAGTAAACTAGTACATGTGTGAAAACCATAAAGCAGTCGTTGTATCAATACTCTCAATCAGTGACAATTAGTAAAGGATTCAAATATATCGGTAAAACCAAAGCATCGGTAAAAGCTATCGTAAATCATATCAATGCAGTAAACCGTGAGTAATAATAGCAATTCAATAAACTAGTAACAGTAATCACATTTTATATCAGTATCAGTGCAATATCTTAATCACATGCTCAGTACGTCACATAATTAGTCAATCATTAAACAATACAATGAATCAATAACACTAGCAGTAATAGTAATAGTAGACCAATACTAGCATCAATATTAGTATCGGTGACAATATTGATATCCGTATCAGTATCAGTAAACCCGTAATAGTAACAGTAAATTCGTACAGTGATAATAAATCATTAAACAGTGAATAGTAAAGCCTTACAACAATAATGAATCAGTAACATGCATTTTTGTAATCATATTAATCAAGTAAGAAGTCCTGGCTTAAGTGGTGTTTTCCAGTATCAGTAATCTGTAGTCAATAACCATTGACTCAGTAAATAGAGTCGTCAAGCGTGTCGACACAGTAATAACTCGTTATAATTCCCAATCAGTATCACGTAAATCAGCCGGATAATATCAAATCATATATTTAAAGGAAAGTCCATCGGCCCATCATCCTGTAGGTCAGTTAGTCTCCAGTGAGCGTTAGTGAAACATTTATGTTACTTATTTTCCACACATATTAATATCACTTTTTTAATAGTAATAGTGATCAGCTATTACTCAACCACATGTTCTTATTCGTTCACAATATTTGTATTAACTGTATGCTTAAATAAAAATAGTTACATCTGTTCAAGAAAAATCATACAAAATTCAATAACTTCTATCTTACCTAGTGAAAATTAAAAATATTACAGTCAAAATCTCCAAAATAATCAGTATGATATCACATAAAAAATTATGCAGTAGAAGTTCAATATATTCAGGAAATATGCAATAAAATCATTTATGCTAAGAATCAAAATTTTTGAAAACAGAAGTATGATCAGAATCACCTACTATAATCTAAGAAAGTTTCACAAAAACGGCTAAGCGATACAGCAGCTAAAATCATCTTATCTTTTTTTTTCTATCTCCTCTTTCCTTCCTTTCCTCCTCTTCCTTTTTCGGCAAGGCAAGATGTTGAAATTCTGATTTTTCATTAAAAAAATCATTTCAAAAATTATGGTTTCACATATATGCACATAATATTCTTTGAAAATCATTCCTTTTCCAAAACTTACATTTAGGAAGAGAATTTCAACACTCTTCATGAATTTGAGTCTTTTATATATCATACTGACATATAGCCTCCATCTCTTCCTAACCCTCTTATAGAACCATAGTCGCTTGAAAATTCTCAACTTTTAAGTTACAAATGAATGGTTTATACTAGATGCCAAGAACATCTAACAAGCATTAGTGAACAAAGTATTCATGCACATAAAAAACGACCCTCTAAATCAAGCTTCGATTATCATTCACAATATAACTATAACAACAATACTCCCCTCTCAAACAAGCACATTGTCCTCAAAGTGGAAGGATGGAAATTGCTTCTTGATCACCTCATACGATTCCCATGTAGCTTCATAATCAGGTAGATCCTTTCATTGCATTAGGACCTCCTTTGCTTTTATCATCCCTCGTCGTATTCTAACAACCTTCATGGGTTCTAGAATCACCTCAATGTCCTCAATTAATGTCGCAAGTAGTGAGGAAGAGAGTGTGATATCCGATAGCACACCTCAGTTGTGATACATGGAAATACTGGGTGTATTAATAATGATGTTGGTAACCTCAGACGATAGGCTACTGCCCCAATACACTCCGTCACCTCATAAGGCCCAAAGTAACGTGGTGATAGCTTCTAATTCTTCCTCTTGGCTAGTGTCTTTTCTCAATATGGTCTCAATTTCAAATAAACTTTGTCCCTAGTCTTGAATTGTACTTCTTGTATGTGTTCATCTACCTTCTTTTTCATAAGTTATTGAGCTCTTAGTAGATGCCCTTTGAGTTATACTTGTATCCTATTTCTCTCATCCAAGTATTGATCTACACTGGATACTGGTGTAGTGCTTTGCCCGTAATATATCAGATGAGGTGATCCCTCCCATACAGAATCCTAAAAGGGGTAATCTTCGCGGTTGTGTCGAAAGATGTATTATACTAATACTGCACCCATGCTAACCATTTAGCCCATAGTTTTGGTGTCTCAAATATAAAATAACACAAGTATGTCTCCACACTCCTGTTAACCACTTCGATTTGGCCATCCGCCTGTGGGTGATATGTCGTGCTCCTTTTTAGGACAATTCCTTGCATCTTGAATAACTCCTTCCAAAAATTGTTGAGGAACACTTTGTCTCTATATGATACTATAGATTCAGGAATGTCATGTAAGCACACTACCTCTCGAATAACGACCATAGCGACAGAGATGGTAGTTTAGGAATGTCTCAGCAAAATGAAATGGGCATACTTGCTTAGTCGATCAACCACCATCAGTATCACTGAATATCCCTCCTAGCATGGAAACCCCTCAATGAGCCCAGACCTTCTCAGGTAAACTAACGGTTGCAGTACCCACCCCCGGTGCCATAGTCAGGTGCTTATGCCGCTGACACACATCACACCTTGTTATCATATCTTCTACATCTTGATGCATTCGTGCCCAATATAACTCAGGTAATAGTCTGTTGTATGTCTTTTGTACTCCTAAATGTCTCCTTATCGCATTGACATGAAACTCCTGCGGTAGCTTGAGAATGTAACCGGAGGTCTATGGTAACATAAACCTCCCCTGGTAAAGTAGCTGCTCCCCCTCAGAGCATAACTTGGGTGACTGTCCGAGTCCTTCAGCAACTCTTCTCTTATCTTTCTCAACTATTGATTCTGCTCTCTCTCCCGCCTCGATGATTCTCAATCTAAGATCATTGGTACTAACAAGGTTGCCAATTGGGGTTCCTTGACCCTCCTCGATAAGGCATCTGCTGCCTTATTTTTGAAGCCCGGTCAATATTGTATCTCAAAATCATATCCAAGTAACTTAGATAGTCATCTCTGATGCTCCTCAGTGACCATCTGTTGTTCCAACAAATATTTCATTAATTGTCCTTTTAATGAAATATTGTCCTTTTGAGGGCTTGGTAGTCCTTTTATTAAAATGATATTTAAAATTGTCCTCTTTTACTCTCCATCGCCAATACAAGGGTTCGTCACAGAGTTGTAATTAGTTGCATGAATTGTTCCGTTGCTGATGGAAGACCAAGAAATCTTTTATGAGCACTCTCTACGATGTTGGTGAGGAGCAGGAAATATACTTCAATACTGGCACACCATTACACGCTATTGTAGTGATAGCGAATTCTATATTTTTTTTTCTCCAAGAAAATGCTAACCGTCTACTTGCCAGAAGTGTTTTACTCTCCAACATAACTATCATCAGATAATTGTGTAAGCCATATGGCTCATTTTCTTAGGACTCGTTTGGTACCCTCGACGTTTTTTTCATTCTTAAATGGAGCTATTACAACGGAGAAGCAGATTTTTTTTCTTCTCACATCGGCGAAAATATGGAGTTGTAGCAAAAGATATTTTGAAAAAGTGGCGTAAACAAACAGTAAAATAATAATTTTTCACATATTGAAATCGGAAACGGAGAAATTACGGCCAACCAAATGAGGCCTTAGTCAGAGAAGTCAACGGTGGAGATGACATTATTTTACAAAGCATTGTTTTACTCTTTTGCTAATAAACTCATTTTATAGTTTCTAACACTCTTGAAATATAGGTTCCTGGTATTCTATTCACTCCAATCTGTCCTCATTCTCTTTCATTCCGGCCGCTGATACTACCGGAGTATGCGACGCTGAGAGTTCAAATTCCTTTGAACAGCAGAGGACAGGCGTGGGCCTCTTTTGATGGCAAAGACAGGAAGCAATTGGCCCCTGGTGATGCTCTCATCTGCAGCATGGCTCCTTGGCCAGTCCCCACAGCATGCCAAGTTGATTCCACCAATGACTTCCTGCGAAGCATCAATGAAGGCCTCCATTGGAATTTAAGGAAGATTCAATCATTTGATGGTCCTCGCGATTTGTAGCTTCCACTGTGGCTCTAACCATTATTAGTAAGCTTCATCTTCATATTCATCATCATCATTATTTACACTAAAAAGCTGCTTTAAGAAGCAGTAAGAAATCTGTCCCAAACGAGGCCTTATTGTTATAAAATTTTCAAACCATTTCTTCTCACTGTACGCAACAATATTGCTCTTAGGCTTCGTTTGGGATGGCTTTTTTGCTACTTCTTGAAGCAGCTTTCTTGTACATTTTTGTACTAAAAAACTGCTTCAAGAAGCAATTAAAAAGTCGTCCCAAACAAAACCTTATAACTCTGGATTGCTGCTCAGTGGTCCACATTGTATTCTCATTTGTCCTCATTCATGAACTTTCTGTGCAAAACAACACACCTGCAGTTCAAAAGAGTTAATGCAGTATTGTTCCAGTGCCATGAACAATGGCTTCTTAACTGTAAAACCTTTGTTCTGAATTTCATTCTTCTTGTTTACAGTGCAATCCAATGAGTTAAGATCCTGCTGCTTCCTTACTGATTCCAGCTGAATAATTCCCAAAGCCAAGGTAAGAACGAGTCATCTCAACTTTGAATTGGGAAAAAAAAATCAAACAGTTTTATGAATAAAGTTATTGTGAGTGTTGTTTTTGATGACACTCAGAGTTTGATTAGAATAGAATATTAGAGGTTCATAGATTTAGGTTTAGGGTTTCTCAACGGTCTCTAACAAACCAAGAGCCTCTTTTTAACTATTGTTTTCTCATGAATAGAACAATCTAGAAGTCATTTGGTTACAATATTGCTTATAATAAATGGGCGAGTTTTTATTAGAGGTTATTATTGAATTACCAAGTGTCAAATTATGATTGAAGGAAAGATAATTCTTTCAGAATAAATGTCTGGTTAGGGCTAATTTTTGTTGAACATGTTTATGAAATTTCATTATTGAAGTCTCTCTCATGATTTTTGTCTATTATATATGTCTTGGAGTTTCTTTATATTTATCTTTTAAATTTATGTTTCATTTTGGATGACTTTCTTCGGCTTCTTAATACTGTTTTTTATTATAATTTTTTTTTAAATTAAAATTTTATGTACTAGAAAGCTTCTGTATAAAATAAGAATAAAGCTGTTCCAAACGAAGCCTTAGCTATATTGTCTAATAATCAAGTTGTGTTGAAGGATTGTAAGTAGTGTAGTAAAATCATAGATTCTTGTAGAAAAATTAGTTTCATATTAGGGTTTGCTCGGACCAATTTTACAATCACTTATGCAAAAAACTCTAGTTATCATGATCCTTAATTTTGTAAATGGTTTAAAGGAGAAGATTTTAATCAAATCAATTCATTTATTCATAAAATCAGTCACTTCATAAGCATCTACTTTAGGATTGGCGGGCAGAATCTCTAATTCCCCTAATTCTAATTTCTCCTTCCAATTTCGAGCTAATTTAGGCTTCGTTTGTGATGATTTTCTTAGTGCTTTTTAAAATAGTTTTTTATACAAAATTTTATTTTTTTATTAAATAAAGGCTTTCAGAAGAAGTAAAAAAGTCCTCCCAAATGAAACGTAGCTTCTTTACTGCTTTTAAAAGCAGCTTTTTATTAAGAAACTGTTTTAAGAAGCATGAAGAAAGTCATCTCAAATGAAACCTTAATGTTGAATTTGCATGTATGTATTATGACTTAAATTCAAGATCTCTTAATTAAAAGCTTAATTTTCCAATCAATACGGAAATGAGTTGCATATAAAATTTCTTTCAATAGTAGCTTAATTTAAGTCCTTTGTGCTGAAAATGTGCAAATGTTCAATTAATTTATGAATATATCTATGTTGATTGAAATACAAATATGCATTGGTTTCTTCCCAGCTTCAGATCAAAGTTGAAACTTTGATTTCATTAATTTTGAATTTGGTTGTTTTGAGCTGATTCTTTTCTATATTTTATCAATTATTCTTTAATTTTTTTTAAAAAAAAAACTTGTAAATAGTTGTAGGCTTTTAAATAGCTACAACTTGCAAAGGGTAACTATATTGGTGAGGATAAAAAAACTACATGCAGCATTGCCATACCGACGTAGCTCATCTTAACCTATTAGTTAGGAGCTTTGATTATATACTAATATATTTTGCGGTCGAAACTTTAGTATGTGATATTTGTGTGAGTTTATCTTAATTGACTCAAAAGTCTCAAAAATATAGTCTTGCAGTACCAACAATGTACTCTATAAGGTATATATTTGAAAAGATTTAAGGTGGTTGTTAAGTAATTTAGGAGGGTCTTCGAGAGCTCATCTTGAGAGAGAGAGAGAGAGAGAGAGAGAGAGAGAATTTGGAGGAGAAAATTTTATTTTAAAGCTTTATTAAAAAATTTCCCCAAATCTTTAAATCACATAAGCATCTTATTTATAGGAGTTTGCAATGGTGTGATAACATGTATGAATAATCTAATTAAAATTAGATCAACACCTCACAGCGGCGATGTAAAACATAAAGCCTAATTGGAATAAACCAATAGTCATATAACCAATATCATCATTGCAACCCCCTTCCTTCATAAGAGGAAAAAAATCAAGAGATAACAATATCAAACTAGAGGGGCAGCCATAAAGATCAAGAGAAAGCAAACCAAACCAATTATGCCAATTCAGTCACCTCTAAAACTATGGCAAACTAATTTTATCAACTTTAGTTAAATCTTTGAGTTCATGAGAAAAGTTATATCATATAAATGCATGCTAGTATTCAATTTAGTATCATGATTGGCTAATCAATCGGCACCGTAAATTTTCTTCATGATTGGCTAATCAATTAGCCTTAGGTTTCATTTGGGACGACTTTCTTATTGTTTCTTGAAGCAGTTTTCTAGTACAAAAATGTTAATTTTATACTAAAAATTTGTTTTGAAAAATAGTAAGACGACGTCTCAAATGAAGCCTTTTAGTCATACTGAAAGTTGCTTCTGTTCGGCTTAAGATTAAGCGATCTTAAGCCGGGCTTCCACATTTATATTCATACCTGATTTATTTAGAGATGTATGATCGTGCTTTGCTTGTATTTGACTTGCTTAAATTAGGCTTCGTTTGGGGTGGCTTTTTTATTGCTTTCTAAAACGGAGTTTTAGTACAAAATTTAAAAAAAAATTGTACTAAAACTCCGTTTTAGAAAGCAATAAAAAAGCTGTCCCAAACGAAGCCTTAGTTGAATCAGTACTTCAACAAGTGAGTAAATAACCTTAATAAAGGAACAAGAACTTAGCTTCTTATCTTAATTTTTAAATAAAAAAAATTGTAAGAGTTTGAATGAACAAGCAATTCTAAATTAATATTTAATTAGTCCACACAAATAAAACAAGAAAATAAATAAGTCAAAATAAAAGAAATACTAACAAATCTGTCTATTGAAATAGAGAAATAAGAAGGGGTCATATTAAATAAGCAAATTTATTAATAACATATTAATTAATTTGTTAAAAAATAAAAAATCTAAAAAAAAATTAACACAAAAAAAATTACCTAGATAAGAAATAATATGGGGAAAATCAACTTAATCGTCTATTACTTTTCAACATCTTAGTGCCTTAATGATATCAAATTTAAGTGTACCTACGCTTGACATATTCATTTGGCAGAGATGCTCATTTTGATTATAAGCATAAAAATTTGAAGAGCGTTTAATTGCTCGAATATCTTTGATAAATTTATAAATATGCTTCAAAGTGCCTTATTAGGTCAATTTGAGCTAAGATCAAAACATTTTTTATGTCTAAAAGTTTTGAAAGCAAAATTCAAATAATTCCTTAGATTAGATGACCGTGAAAGTTTTCAATTCAAATATTAAGTTACTTTGAGATATAAATATTCATCAAAAAATTCTTTTTTGATCAAATGGTTTTTTCTAATGACATATCATTATGTAAAAAAAAATCATATGATTTAAACTATGGAGAAAATTTTGATGAATTTAAATTATGGTGAAAGATTTATTCTTTTTTTAATTCTATTGATAATTATAATTTATTATTCAGAGTGATGATAAAATAGATAGGGATATTATCAGTAGAATTCAAGTTGGATGGTTGAAGTGAAAGAATGCATCAAGCTTGTTGGGTGATAGAAAAGTCTTTTGAAATTTAAGAGAAAATTCTATAAGATGGTGGTGAGACCTGAAATGCTCTATGGTGCAAAATGTTGGCCATGAAAAGAGAAGCATAATACTAAGTTAAGTGTTGCATAGATGAGGATGCTTAGGTGGATGAGTGGCTTTACCCTTAGAGGTAGGATACGAAATGAGCATATACATGAAAAAGGTTGGAGTAGCTCCAGTGAAAGATAAGATTAGAGAGACTCGCCTTAGATGGTTTGGTCACATAAAATGACAGCCTTCCAATGACTTAGTTAGGAAAGTAGATATATTAGATTTGACTTATATTAAGAAATGTATATGTATACCTAAAAAGATTTGGTTAGAAAATATTATAAATGATCTTTCTTTATTAGATTTGAACAATAATTATATTTTTATCATGATACAATGCAAAAAAAAAAAAAAATTCATGTAGCCGACCCCACATAGTGGGACAAAGGCTTGATGTTGTTGTTGTTGATTCGTAATTGTAATTTATTGAATCCATTATAAATTCTTATATTGATTTACTCATATAATTATAAGTGTGCAATAACATCATTAAAATTTTTGAAGTAACTATTATAAATGTTGCGTCTGGAGTATTTGCGGCGGTAGAGAAATATAAAGTTTAACGTCTTAACTTTGTACGAAAATCCGGCACGCAAACAGATGAAAGAGAGGTGCGACATTCACAAGATACACAAAGATTTTTACGTGGAAAACTCCTAAAAAAGAGAAAAACCCACGGGGCCTAGCCTAATTTGAATGAATCCACTAGTATTGCAGTTGATTACAAATGAGACCATTTCTTAGGGGGAAGGCCTTGGTTTGGTATACATCATATGGAATACATTACATGATAGGAATACAAAGAATCACCGTTGAAGAATTCGTTTTGTCAGAAGGACCATAATCTGGTGATGGGGGTCAGAAGAATAGTAGTCGGCAGGTGACGGAGATCATAAAGACCGCGTTGTCTAGCGACAGAGGTCGAAAGGACTGTAGTCGGTGGGTGACGTAAGTCAGGAAGACGTAGTCGGCCGACGACGGAGGTCGAAAGGACTGTAGTCGGTGGGCGACATAAGTCAGGAGGACTGTAGTCGGCGGACGACGGAGGTCGAAAGGACTGTAGTCGGTGGGTGACATAAGTCAGGAGGACTGTAGTCGGCGGGCGACGGAGGTCGAAAGGACTGTAGTCGGTGGGAGACTTAAGTAGGAGGACCGTAGTCGGTGAGCGATGGAGGTTGGAAGGACTGTAGTCTGACGATGGATGTTAAAAGAACGGCGTCAAGTAGAAGTCTAGCAATGGATAGAAATCCAGCATCGAATAGATGTCGGGCAGAAGTCCGATAACGAACAGAAGTCCGATGTCAGGTAGAAATCTGGCGACGAGTAGAGGTCCAACTTCGGATAGAAGTCTGACGTTAGTCGGCGACCTAGTAGAACTCCGGCATTAGATGGTATTCAGGAAAAACTCCAGAGTTACTTGGAGATCGAACAAAATTCTGACGTCACTTGGAGGTCAGGCAAAATTATGGCATCACTTGGAGATCAGACAAAATTCTAGTGTTACATTTTTTTTTTTTTGAAGAAAAAAAAAATTTTTTTTTTTTTGAAGAAAGAAAAAAAAATTCGGTGTTACTTGGAGGTCGAGCGAAATTCCAGCATCACTTGGAGATCAGACAGAATTCCAGTGTTATTTGGAGTTCGGGTGAAACTCCGGCGTCACTTGGAGGTCGGGCGGAAATCTGACGGTGGTCGAGGAGGAGTTTCTTCCTTTTTATTATTCTCTTCTCCTCTTCTTCTTCTTCTTGCTTGGGCCTTGGGTCCGCTCTTAAGAGAAATGAGGAATTTATAGTTTCTTTGAGAGTGACATGACTAATAAATAAGTGAGAGATCAATGGTAAATGAGGAGTAGTTGGATGGAAGGCTAATATTGAATCCCTTGATTGTGTACCATTCGTTAAGCATTTGAAGTTCTTAATGATGTTGGAATTTGGCGATCTTGGGCTCGTTGGATTCGTCTCGTCGAGCCGCTCAATTCGACTATAAGCATTTCATATTTGAAAACCGTTTAATAATTCAAATTGTGGTTTGAACCTTCCAACAGCGATTGGGGTTTTCGATTTTGACTCATTTGGGCTCGGATTGAGTCGAATTTGGTGTTGTTGGGTTCGTATTTCCAAGACGTTCAATTCAACTATAAGTTTGTTGAAATCGAAGTTCAGATGATCCTAGATTTAATTTTGAAGCTTCTATTCGTGTCCGATGAAGATAATTTTTTTATGACATATCAATAAATATTATGCTTGAAGAAGATTTAATAATTATAATTCTAGTCAACGTTTTGAAAACCGGACCGGACCGGCCGGTTCAACCGGTTGAACCCCGAACCGGCCGGCCGGCCGGTTAAGGGTTAGTTAAGAACCATTTCTGCAAAGAACCGGAATTGAACCGGTCAAACCGGCGGTTCGACCGCCGAACCGGAAAACCGGGCGTGTTATTAAAAACCGGCCGGTTCAAATATACATTTTATTAGCCGTCCGATTTAATCCAAAGGCTGAGAGAATGATCGGTAAAAACAAATACAAAATTACACCGTGAGTGAAACCCTATTCCTCTCTTCATTTTCGCGATCCTTCATTTCGTCCAGGCGGAGCGAGAGGCCGAGAGAACCGCGACTCCTCACGGACGGGAGGCTGTTTTGCCGGAGCGACTTAGCCGATCGAACTGAAGGCTTCCTTCTCTTGCTCAAGTTCTCTTTTCCAGCCTTTCCTGCCCACCGTGAGTTTTTTTATTTTCACGCGCTCTTATTTGCAGCCGACGGTAGGCTGTGATTCTTGATGAATTTTCTTGTTTAATAGTGGAAATTGAAATTGCAGTTGTGTGTTTATGTTTCAATGTTTCCTTTCCACCAAAATCCTTGTTTTTTTTTTTTTGGATTTGCAAGCCTTTGAAATTGCAGCTGTAAATCATTTGGTGGACATCATTTTTTTGTTTTTTGCATCTATTAATTTCATTGGATCTGATGAGCTTATAACATCCTATTACACTTTTGAAACAAAACAAATTTGAATGGCTGCACCAATCAAGTTCTGAATATGGATATGACGAAAAAATTGCTCAATTACTAATACATAGAAATAAGAGTTACGTGGTGTATCAAGGGATGCAACATGGTGCAGGAATGCTTAGAAAGGAAATGCCATCTATGCAGTGAGTTCATTCGATTTTTTTTTCTTCAATCCATGTTGGAATGCTCGCATGGCTGTGTAAAATTGCAATTAGTAATATTATTGGAAAACACTGAAATGGCTTCTTAAATCTAGGGATCAATCAGCTTAGGAACGATAATTAGGGCCATAACTGGTTGAGCCAAGTCGAGTATCACTATTCTCAAGCTTGTTTTTGTCATCCTTAAATCGAGTTTAAACATGATCTGAGTGCAAAAATTACATTCAAACAATTCAAATTCTTTATCAAGTTCAAGCTACAATCAAACTTTAATCTGGTCTAATAAAATATATATGAGATGCCAATATTTTTAACTTGAAACCTTATAGTCCAACACGCATTTATAAATAATTATTTATGCATAAGTGATATGATTCTTATAAAGTTTTTTTTTTTAAGGTTTAAATATTAATATAACATCTAATTCTAGGATTATGAAAGACAACACCTCAACATCTCAACATCTTATTACATACTATTCTTGCAGTGAAGATGATGACCGCATATCTCTCATGCATTAACTGCCCAAACCATATTTTAAATTATCTATCTTACCAGTTTCTGATAATTATGGCTATAGAAATCTTGAAAAGCTATCCCCTACTTCAAATTTATGCTCAAGCTTTGTTTTTGGGACTTCTGAAGTTCACAATTTTCCAAATTTTTCCGTGGTAAGATATTGCGTCCCAGAAACACAATTTTATCTCATAGCAGCTCAGTTCATTTGCATATCAAAAGCTGATATATGATCTCATAATATGATATTTGTTTTATTTACTATCAAGCAATGGCCTAGAGCTCAACAGAAGTACGATACCAGATATATTCTGAGTACAACGAGAGACACCAAGAGAAGAGTGCCAGTCCCAGCTGCCAGTGCAAATCTGAGGGGATCCTACATTTACAAGAAAAATTCACAAAAATCCTTAGCAGAATGATCCAAGAAGAAATCTTGATGTGCTGCTTTTACAGATTCTAATGATATTTGAATCATGACTATTTAAAGTATACTGTTTGGAGGCTAAATTGTACATTGCATATAGAACTTATGCGATAAGATTTTTTTAGATCATGAAATGATTATTAGCGTACTAAAAAAACATGCGATTAAGGGGTTAGGTCGGGCCCGCAGGCTTGTGGGCCCGCTCCCAACCCGGCCCGATCCCATCCCTTTTATATTCAAATTCAGATTTGGTGATTTGGGTGGGCGGCAATCGAAAGAGCAAGAGCGGGAGGAGTGGGAGGCAAGCGCGAGAGGGGGGGTTCGATCGTCGGATCTCGGCTGCCGCCGGCGAGGTCGAGGAGCTGAATTGGGGGAGGTAAAGACGCCCTAACGAACTTGTTCTTTTTTCCTCTTCTTATCTCCTCTCTTTCCATCTGCAGGCATGATGGCTGAAATTTCAGCAATCGATTTGATAATTTTCTTTTTCAGCAATCGATTTGATAATTTTCTCTTAATTAACTGAAAATTTAATCTCCGGCATGTGTTGATTCCCAGCTTGAATAACCCTAGCGAGGAGTATGGTGAGGGAGCTTAGAGTGGAATCTTTCTATTCTCTTCTCCGAGATGCCGCATCGGCATCGTCTTCCTCTCCTCTACTAATCTTTCCATCAGCATCCGATGTAGATTCTCTCTGCACCCTTAAGATTATAACCCACATCCTCTCATCTGATTCTCTCCGGTACTCTGTGTACCCTGTATCCTCATTCAACGATATTGAAAAGTTTCCTGGTCTCAATCTTCATAGTTCTCGTGAGAGGGTTTCTTTGCTTCTAATAAACTGGGGTTGTCATCGTGACCTCCACCGGCTGCTAAACCTGAGTTCAGAAGTACGTGTCTTTGTAATTGATAGTCACCGTCCAATTCATCTACACAACCTTAGCAAACAGAATGATCAGATTATTGTCCTTTATACTGAAGAGGATGAGCACCACGCTGATTTGATTTATGATTTTGATGTGTCGGCTCTGGCTAATGCGTCCGATCTGAATAGTGACGATGAGATTGGCGAGAGCAGTGATAGTGATGATGACAGTGAAAACGAGGAGGATGAGAGGAATTTGAAGCGCCGTAGGCTTTCTGAAGAGTCTGTGTCTGATCCGATTAAGCTCTATGGGAAACTGAAGGCTGAGTATTACAAGTTGGGAACTTTTCATGGAAAGCCTTCTGGTTGTTTGATGTTTGACCTTGCTCATTCCCTGAGAAAGAACACTAACGAGCTGCTCTGGTTAGCTTGTGTCTCCCTTGTCGATCAGTTTGTACATGAAAGGCTAACAAATGAAAGGTATCAAGCTGGGGTTATGGAACTTGAGCAGTATATTAACATGTCTGGAAGTCTGGAATCTGTCACCACTGTGACACTAAAAGATGGCACGCGGATTCAAGCACCAGAGAATTCTCGGATTTTATATGAAGATGAGCCACGGCTTATGCTTCTAAGGGAGTGGAATTTGTTTGATTCAATGATTTGTTCTTCTTACATTGCAACCAAATTAAAGACTTGGAGTGATAACGGTCTGAAGAAACTCAAGCTTCTACTCGCCAGAATGGGCTTTCCTCTTGTAGACTGCCAGAAGAAATTCCAGTACATGAGCATGGAAGTCAAGAGGAGGATGAAAAACGAGTTTGATCAGTTTTTACCTGAATATGGATTGACAGAGTTCTATTATCGCAGTTTCTTTAGACTCCATGGGTATTGCTCTAAGTTGTCTGCGGCTGATGTAGTTTATGGAGTTACTGCACTGCTTGAATCATTGGTAGGAACCAAAAAGGACACATCGATTGGTGAGAAATTTTGGGTCGCTTACTCAGCACTCTCCTTGAACAATCTCGAGCAACTCAGGAAGGGAATGCAAAATGCTATTGAGATACAGAGGGCTATTCTCAGACAGGGTAGCTCTGCAATGACAAAGAGTGGATTTATTCGAAGTGGCAGAAGATTTCGTTGGATAAAGCTTGAAGACCCCGTGGATACTGAGAAATTACATTATCCACAGGCTCTTACCAAATTGTGCTACTTTCTGATGGATGCTTTAAAGGAAAGAGGTGCAAAGGTGAAGCCTTTGATTTGTGCCTGTTTGGCAAAAGAGCCTGGCAAGGTCTTGATAGTTGGGGTTTGCAATAAACCCAGGCTTGGGGCCATTCAAGGTAACTCATTTGGAATAGCATTTAGAACTGCTGCTGAGGAAATTGATGCCGAGTATTTTCATGAGTTGTTTGAATCTTCTTGGATACTTTTAGATACTGTGGCCGTCAGTTCTTTTATGATAAGATTGGCTGGGAAACTTTGATATATTGACGTACTCCAAGCCTTGTTGTAGAAGGTAGTCAACCATCCTAAGTTGTTCTATTGCTTGGATGAGGTATTGCAATGAACTTAATTTCTAAAATAAAAAGAAATGCATGACCACATGCAACCTTTTTTCTTAGTATTATGCTTAAAGACTGTAAAAATCTGTCTTTAGGTATAGTGCCTTGTTTAGTATTTTTCATGGTAGTGTTAATCTAATAGTGTAATGTAGCTGACACACGAGGGTATAAATTATGTTTAATTTTAGTCGAATCAACACAATTATCTATTTTGGGATATTTTTTTGGGGGTCATGTAGCAGGCGAGTGTCATACTAACATATGTTGCTTTCATCTTGTAAATGAGCCAGTTTTCTCTTCCAGGCAAAAATTTCTATTTTTTGGGGATTCTAATTTGAGATTGTATGCATACACATGGTTTCTCAAATTTGGCATCATTGTACCATATCCAATGTACTAAACTATACATTTAGTTTAGGCTTGACTCGATAAATTTTGAGTTCAATGAGTTATCAAGTCAAGCTTAAGCCTGCTCTAACTCAATTCTCATGAGCCGAAATAAAAAGTTTAAGTATGAAGTTTTTGGAAATATTTAATAATGCTTTATTCTTTTTCACTGTGAAACCCTTTAAGTAAAAAAAGCTAAAATCTTAAACATTGAGGCGTATTTTGGTGTAATGGTTAGAATTTCATTAAAAACTCCACAGTTAAGCGTGCTCATCTCGGAGAAATCTTGGGATGAGTGACCTCCTAAGAAGTTATACCAATAGAAAAAAATCGTGAGGCCCTTAGGCTAAAGTGGACATTATCTTGATAGTTAAAAGTTTAAGTTGTTATAAATTGTATCGTAGCAATACATCAGTCAGTAGATGAGAACTAAGAGTCATACAATATAAAGTGCTACATCATAGGAGTCACCTCTTGGACCCTGTATGGAACAAAATGCTAGGTGGTGGGAGTCACTGCTTGAACTTGTAGGGATTACCCCTAGAATCCTATATGCCTGGTGGATGATTCTTTGATATAAAAATACTGACGAGGGCGTCAATTACTTAAGTGGGAAAGTTTGTGAAACACTTAAGTAAAAGAAGTTAAATTTTTAAACATCGAAGTGTCTTTTGGTATAATGATTATAATTTTATTAAAAAACTCAGCAGTTAAGTGTGCTCATTCAGGAGAAATCCTGAGATAGGTGACCTCTTTGGAAGTTACACTAATAGAACAAAATAGTGAGACCCTTATGCCAAAGCAGATAATATTTTGATAATTAAGAGTTTGGTTGTTACATCCATAATTGATTTGTCTTTTTTTCTCTTTTATTTTTTGATCATTTTTACTATTTTATTACAAAGGTTGATTGAATTGGAATCATTCTTTTTCTTACATTATAAATGAGCCAGCTCTTAAGCCAACTCATACTCATAGAATTTAGTCGAGCTTGAGCTCAAGCTTCACACGTGGCTCAAATTCAAATCGTCTGATTTACACCCCTAGTATGATTTGGTTGTCTCCAGAATTCAATGGATTTCATGCGGCTGCCTATGCTTATCAGGTTTTTTTCCTGGTTTGTTTTACACATGCAAGTGGACGAAGGATGCTATTGTTCTCTACACTTGAGTTCTTCCTGTGGAAACATATAGTTTAGGAGTAATGCTAAATTTCATCGATTGTAAAATTTTTTTCTCTTCTTTCATTCTTGGTCTGGCACTCACTACAATACACGGTCATTGTTATTTCCCAGCATGAATTGTCATGCGATGGATACAATTAGGTTTACCTATCAATTACAAAACTACATTTACAACCAGGTATGTCAGCAATTAGTTTTAAATTTATTTATTTATTTAGAAAGCTCAAGTTTTTTGAAACATTGAACAATTTTAAGGATTGAATATTGCATAGTCATGATTCCACCATGGCATGAGTGACCATGACTTCTGCAAATGGATGCATATAGCTTAAGTATGTGTCAATGAAACATTTAGCTTGTACCACACTGCATTTTTCTTTGCTATCATCTTAATTCACTGAATAGAAAAGATCCCGGCAAAGACTGAGCTTAGATTTCGTTTGGGACGGCTTTCTTACTGCTTCTTAAAGTAGTTTCTTAGTATAAAGATTAGAAAATTTATACTAAAAAGTTTCTTTAAGAAACAGTAAGAAAACCGTCCCAAATAAAACCATAATTATTTGATGTTTCCGATATGAAGGTCATAAGAATTGCAACAACGAAGAATTTCAAAGAAACAACTGAAGGTTTGTTCCTTAACCTGTTTTAATATGATTACTACCAAATTTTAATTTAGTTATCTTGCATTTTCTTTTTGTGCTTAATCTCTTAATAACCAGTATCTTTCAGATTGATCATTTCCTTAGTACTGCTCATGCTGCTGGTAAAATTTCTGTTACTGCACATGAATTTCTCTTGCTATTCCTAACAATCTCTTACTTTTGTTTATAATGAAATTTTGGCTTTGGCTTTGTTTGGGATGGTTTTTTTATGACTTCTTAAAACAGCTTTTTAGTATAAAAATTGATCAATTTTGATGTCAACATGTCAAGCTAGCAATATTCTGCTCTTCGACTGGATTTGCCCTTATGAACCCCCTCATGGTATGGGTTTGTTACCTCCTGTTTGATACATTGCAGATATGTTGGGATTTACTTCTTTTGCATTTCATTGATGATAGAGAAGCTTTATATGCGATGTATTGTCTTACATCTACACTTGGATATGTACATACATAGCATACACTGTAGATATGATGTATGTGCATGATATACTCACATACACGATGATGTGTATTGCATGTATATACATATGATGTATGTGCATGATATACTCACATACACGATGATGTGTATTGCATGTATATACAAATGATGTATACTATATGCATGTGTACTGATGGAGCTTGTTTCATGGAGAAGGAGAGCACAAACCCCTTCTAGTATACTAAGGCATACAAGAAACAAACAAGATTTGGTCATTCAGGGAATTCCTTGTTTCTTTATATACCAAGGAAACAAAATAGCAAAACAGAAAAAACTCTCCAATGCCTTGAACAACGAAGAAATTATTATGTGCGGAGTTCGGATGCAGAATGTCATCCGAAGACCAACCAAAATGTGTCACATCAACAGTATTAAGCTGCCGTACCAAACAAAGAGATGATGTGACGCATTTTGATTGATTTCCGGACGTTTGGCATCCGCACAGAATAATTGATCCTAACAATACTCTTTTATGGAGAAGAGTGCATAGGAAATTTATAGAGGGTTAGTCCTTATTAATTTAGGTTTTATTTGGGATAATTTTTTTTATTACTTTTAACTTTCTAATAAACTATGGGTGGTATATATGTAATATTAAAATTTTAGGTGTTAAATATATAAATAGAATAGTATTAAGTGGTATGTATGTAAATCTCCCAAAAAAAAACATATATAAGAAATAATTTTAATAAATTAAAAGAGTTTTGACCTGATTTTGAAGCCGATCCACCTTCGAGTGCCCAAATAACCAGACAATTATCCCATACAAAACCAAAAACACCTGAAAAGATAGACTTGTAATATTTTGATTAGATTTACCTCTATCCCACAAATCATTTCTCATCAATTAACTTTGGATGTAAATACCAAACCAAGTTTAAATATAAGCCTATGAAAGCTTCTTACTAGGGCAAATTATTAGGACCGATCACCTGAACTAGAAATAAGTCTGGACATCCAACAAAAACTTGCCACATGGAGTGCACTTTTACCGTGCGCTTTGACTGTGCTTTAGGTGCGTTCTAATTGCGTTTTACTTTCGCTTTTTAGAGTCAAAGCGCAGTCCACATGACAAATTTCAAAGTATAGCCCACATGACAAATTTTTAGTGGATGTCCAGACCTAGAAATAAGTCCGGTGATCGGACCTAATAATTTGCCTATTACTAGAGAGTACACCCTTCCACAAATGAGGTCCAAGCCAAATCAATTGTAGTTTCTCAGTGTCTAATGACTACAGAGGCATGCACCTACATAAAATCTCAAACCCAAGTCTAAATAATTCTTGCACAAAAATCAATTCAACATATGCCATAAAAGATGGCATTTTGGATGTTAGATAGACTTCAAGGAGCATCTTTTCATTATAAAATATAAGTTAAGCAGTAAACCACATATGATAAACACTTATTGCATGAAACAAAATCAGCACACATTCTGCATGACTATCTAATATTTACTGCAAAAAAAAAAATTGTTAGTGTTGAAAGCATTTCTCATCACAAATATATCACCAAATGTTAGCTTAAGTTCTTTAGATTCAGGCTTCGTTTGGAACAGCTTTTTTCCTCCTAAAAATAACTTTCTAATACTAGAAGCTGCTTCTAAAAAGTTTGGCTGCTTCTAAAAAAGTTGTCCCAAACGAAGTCTCAGACAAGATGTTTCTTACAAGAATGCTATCACATTTATGGCCAACAGAGAGAGGAATTAGTGTCAAGAGTCCAAAGTTACAGATCAGAACTACAACTACTTGATCATACATCAACCTTGAGAGGCAGATAACTAGCAATAATTTAAGCAATATTACAATGTATAGTTAGATGTGGCACACAATATGTATATGCCTACATTCAACAACAGGTAGCCCATATGCAACACCCAAAATATACATAGGGAACCTTTACAAGAACAAAGCAGGCAAGCCCAGAACCCTGAGCAACCAAGCTTGAATGCTCATTTACAAATGAAAGAATGCATGTAAAGCTGCGAAAATCACTCCAGCAAACTAGCAGAAGCAATCAACAAACAGCAAGAGACACAACAGATGCAGCAAGGAAGAACAAGAAATATATAAACTTAAACGAGTAGTAGAAAATATGGTTGAAATACTTGGGATCAAAAGAGATCAAACTTTCTTTTTTGCATGTCCTGCTTCCACTTTGGCTGTTGATAGAATGCTTGTTTTGTCATCCCAAAAACAGTTTGGAATTCCTCATCAGATAGATAAGCCTGTAAATTGTTCAAAAGGATATCAAAATTGACTGATTTATTCACTTTGAATATCACAAAGGAAACATATACTAGGCGTCCCGACGCATAAAGTAACGCACCTCTCTCTGTTTGTAGTCGATTCCAGTAACCGGCTTCCTGGATTTGGCTTTCAGTCGTTCGTAACTATACGTGTTTTCATCAGCATTTTCTCCTACGACGGTGTCCTGGTTCTCCTCTGAATTCACATCATTGCTCTGTGATACATCAGCATTTTCTGCCGAGTCTTCCGCAGGATCCCATACCACAGAGCTTGCTGTCTCTTCCTTGAATGATCCTATAATTAGAAAATAATCTTTTTTAGGGACATTTAGGCCATTTAAGGCAAACTCAAACACACAACACATACACAAAGACTTGAACTCAAAAACTCTTAGTTCGAAGCCTAAGCTCTCAAACAACAGGCTAAGATGAGCAGTGTATTAGAAAATAACTTAAAACTAATCAATTCAAAGAAGCAATTCGCATCTATGAAACAAATATCTTCTTGGGTTGCAGGGCAGCAAGAGCCCAAGATAATATTGTGTGGAAGGCAACGAAGCATATACATTTGCAAGAAAACTAAGCAATTAGATGGCTACTTGATAGAGAAGTTCAACTTGGGCACATTTTTCTTTCATGATTATTCGAACATCTTCAGTCCTATAATTAAGATTATTTTGGGCTTTTGCTATTAAGGGCCCTAATCTATAAACATAGCTCCTTAGGATTAGTATCTTACGTTAAGATGAATGAAAACTCTTTGCCATGGATATGCAATCTCTTTGATTTCAAGAGAAGCTTAGAAAAGAGCCAGTAATAAATAATGCATATAAAGTGACTATTTCTGTAATGGCATCTAAAGAAAGATCCTTTACAATTGCAAGGATGTTTCTCTTTCTGAGAAGCAATAAATTCCTAGAAAATTTTTAATAATGATCTGAAGAGGTTCAACATACAACAAACGCAAGATTCAGCAATCTACATTATGCATACACATTATAAAACAACAAAATGACATTGTAGAAACCAGAAAAACATCCAGTAATAAATAATGACAACTTTACCAGTAGCATTTGAATCAGGGGGTGAATTTCTGCCAAATCGGCGAGCAGATCCTTCAACTTGTGCTTTCTTTTGTTCAGCTGTTAGAACAGAAGACAAGGCAGCAACTGCAGCTGCTCTTTGAGAACTACCCTTAGTTGAACGGGCTGGAATTGGGTTGGTAGGCTTTGATTGGGAATGAGGATTAAATGCAGAAGAGAGTGCTGCTAAAGCTGATGCCCTCTGAGTGGGTCCACTTTGACTTGCATTGTTTGATTTATCCTTAGACTAGAGCAATTAAAAAAGGGTTAAATCCTACGCACTAGTCAGCCACATGCGCAAGAAATGAAAAGGGAAATCACGTAATTTTCAGTACAGGATCTGAATTTTAAAGTCAAAATCCCAGCACTTGGTGCACAGAGCATTAACAAGCTCAACAAATAAGAAAATTTAGAATATTTGCAAATCCCAATTACTTCATAAAGAATGCAAATATGGTATTTTGTCTGCTTTTAAAGTCAATTTTGTAAACTCGTAAATGTTGACTATTGATATTCTCACCGAATAAAAAAAACGTTTCTTGTCAGTCCCCAAAGTTCTTACTAATTTTGATTAATGGGTGAACTAGTGGAAAACAAAATGCTGGGTGTGAACAGCTTTTATTCTGTGTGGACACCGGACGGTTCTCCAGTCAGGTTAAGCGCTTGGTACCGAGCGGTACCGAGGGCGGGTACCGAGCACATTACATTTTTGGGGTGACGTGGCACAATTTTATTGGTCTCCAAACGCCCTCCGGACTCCACACAGAATAATAAATCATGAACTAGTGGATCACAAAATGCAAAGTTATTTTCAATATTACTATATTTGCACGACAACTCTAGGATATGCAGGACCTAGGAAAATTGAAGCATTATTAATAGTTTTTGCTCATGTCAGCTTTGATAACAAGCAGTTATATTTGCTTTTGACATATCAATTTTCATAACATCATAGCACGAAAACACCATGACCCAAATAGACTGGCGTCTACAATAAAAAAATAAATAAATAAATAAATAAAAACTAAAATGATGATTGATGAATAGCTCCCATATAAATTTTGAAACCTTAAATGAAATAACTCTCTGAATGTGATTCAACAATTTCATTTTATAAAACTTTGGAATTACATGCTAAAAAGCACCTAAAATAGAATTTTTAAGTTTTAATATTATTTAAAGGACATCTTTACACATAATAATTGAGGATATAGCCAATTAGTTAGTAATGTCCATCCTCAAACTTTGGTACTTAGTCTCCCTTAATTAATTCGTCTTGGTTGATGAAAAATGGTGACGTTATGCACCACTTTTCCAATAAATTGCAGAACTTCATCAATAAAATCAGTTTTCTGGAAGAAAACTTACCTCTGAAGCGTGAAAAATTGTCCCGAACAAGATTGCAAGTTTCTTCTCAAAAGAATTCCCATGGGCCTATTTCGTATTAGAAAAAGATTAATAATTTATTACGAACATATCCTAAGCATGGGAAAGTAAATAGCGTGGCACAAAATCAACTTGAAAAGAATTAAATGAAAGTTTTTCCATAAAACAAAGCTAAGAAGCATCATTGATCTCTTCCCATCCCTATAATGCAAGGGTGATCACATGTTTTAAACAGTGCTTCTGTGAGAATTTCTTGTTGAAAAATCTCATGGTTTGCAGAAACTGAGAGGCAAAAAATAAATTTTATGATTGATTTGAGGTCATGCCTGAGGAATAAAAAAGCCTTTGAGGTGATTGTTCTACAATGTATCGTAACAAAGTGGATCTTAAAGGAAACTCCCAAAAGCCCATTAAATTAAGTCCAACTAGAAAACAAGTATTTAATATTCATGTTATCAACTAAAGAAAGGCCTAATCCCCCACTCCAATTATGAACATTCCCAAATGTTCTCAGCCCCCTCCACAGCACAAATTTAATTTACTCTACTTCAGTTTTTCATTAACAATGCTTTAGTATACAAGAATAATTTGAATAAAAGAAAATAATGCCCACTCCTTACTGGACCAACTTATGAGAAGAAAACCAGCTAATTACTTAGATCAAAATGAAATTGTAAGGGAATCTCCCAAGCATAACAAAGACAAGATTATGGTTCACAGAACATACAGCAGCCTTAGCGCTATCCCAGGAGAAATATGCCGTAAAGAAGCAGGGCTCATTACCCTCCGTGACTTTGTAAAGGGGCACATCTGAAGCTAGACCTTCTAAGCACATTGCAAGCTCTATGTATTTCTGAATAAAATACAAATTAAATAAATATCATACAAAAAATAACACTATGATATGGCATCAAAAATATGTAACTTAAGATCATAACCTGGCCTATGTCAAATGCCTTTTGTTTGTCCTTTGTTTCTACACACTGACCAATCCAAATAAAAACCTCAGAATGAGTATCAAGTATCAACATATCCTCACTTAGCAGATCATCTTGCACAAAGTTGAAAACTTCAGAGACCTGCAAGAGGAAAAGAGAAAGAACTAAAGATTAACGAAATGAATAGAATTCACATGGAACTAAATAAATATAAGAAGATGAAGTAAACCTCTAATTTTTCTGGAGGACCATCACACCGGCATGAAAGAAGATGAAGCCATTAGATACAAGGAAAAAATAAGAGATGTTATAATTTTTTTCAAGTAGGCAGATAAAATAAATATTACTAAGAGAGAATCTTACCCTTGTTGAAGGAGAACGTGTACAAATGGGGATCTCTGACAATATCTGTTGTAACTTTATTGCTGGAGAAACTTTGTTTTCCTCCAAGAGTGAACCAAAAAGCAGAGCTCTCTGTTCCCTCCTTTGCATGTTTAAATCCAGCCCCAGGCTACAAGGATAGTCAGATCGATAAGATATTAAAAACAAAAATGAGAGAAAGGTTCATAATAAAAGTTCTAAACTATCTTCTCCTCCAAGTTGTTTGCAAGACAATCATCATATCCAACACATTGGATAATTGAATGATCACTTCACACTATTACAAAATTGTATCAAACAGACAAAGCACATTACTGATGACATTAAAAGGTGCAATGAGGCTGACGTAGGAAGTGAAGAAAGGATCTAATAAAGGGAAAAGGTAGTGAGATAGATGAAGGAAAAGGTGAAGATACTTCAACAGGATACTAGGGTACAAGTAAACTATCTCATGTCAGCAGGAAGGTTGACACAATTTCTGTCCTAACCTAAAGTTTCTGTGCATAGCAAAAGAGCCTTACATTTTTTTTTTTTTTTTTTTTTAGCAAAAGAGCCTTACATAACTTGAAGACTTTTCAAAATCTTCCCATAGATAATAAATAACATAACCTAAACCTGCTGTTTCAAATACTTTTTGCAATCCAAAGGATAAGGGATTGATATTCGCGGGCATAATTACCAGCACGCATGTAATGGAATTAAAAATACATTACAGTGTAATTGTCCCTAGCTGCAATGCAGAACTTCCAGGTACCTCACGAAGTATGGGAGTTCCTAAATCAGTTGCCTCATTTGTTGAATGGCTTTCTTGGAAATTTAAGCAGAAGATATTCTTTGCTTCTATGCCATAACATTGACTGAATTATCAACCTTCAATTTATCCAATATATGTAAAGGCCAAAAAGTGTGCGCACTAGAGACTATTGGAAAAGTAAGATTAGAGCCCAGCAGCAAACGAACCACTCTCCCAGCAAAGTTTGGAAGGAATCATGTAGCTTGTAGATCGCATGAGCAAGTCATCTTTAGCTGGCATTAGAGGATAATTCTCTTTCAGGCAAGGGCGGAACTAGGGGTGTCAATTCGGGTCAACCCGTCGGGTTCGGGTCGAACCCGACCCGACCCGGATCTAAACGGGTCAACCCGACCCGTTTTTGCAAACGGGTCGGACATTTCAACC